AATACATTTGTGCCAGAGTGTGAAGGATAAACCATGTTGAAGTTCAGGAACCTGAAATACCATCAATCTTTCTAGACAGCTAATGGTTTAGCAGGGGTGTCCAATCTTGTGGCTTGCCTGGTCCACATTGGAAGAGCTGTCTTGGGCCACATATAAAATGACACTAATGACAGCTGATGAGCTAAAAAAAAAAAATTGCAAGAAAATCTCATAATGTTTTAAGAGAGTTTACGAATTTGTGTTGGGCTACACTCAAAGCTGTCTTGGGCTGCAGGTTAGACAAGCTTCATTTAAGGCATATCACGATAGACTTGTATACCGAAAGACAGTTTTTTTTTTTTTTTACTTCCAACTTTTAAGTTCAGGGGTACGTGTGCAGGATGTGCAGTTTTGTTACATAGGTAAATGTATGCCATGGTGGTTTGCTACATATATCATCCAATCACCCAGTTATTAATCACCCAGTGTCCATTAGTTATTCTTCCTGATCCTCTCCCTCCTCCTACCCGTCACCCTGGGCCCTGGTATGTGTTTCTCCCATCTATGTCTCCACACTTTCTCATCATTTAGCTCCCACCTATAAGCGAGAACATTCAGTATTTGGTTTTTTGTTCATGCATTAGTTTGCTAAGGATCATGACTTCCAGTGCCATATATGTCCCTGCAAAGGACATAATCTCATTCCTTTTTATGGCTGCATAGTATTCCGTGGTGTATATGTACCACATATCCTTTATCCAGTCTATCGCTGATGGGCATTTGGGCTGATTTCATAAATTTGCTATAGTGAACAGTGCTGCAATAAACATAAACGTGCATGTGTCTTTATAATAGAACAACTTATACCCCTTTGGGTATATAAATTATTGAATCTCAAAATTTGGTGGGCCTCTGCATTTTGAAGGGATCAAACATATTTGGGCCCATTTACCAGGTAACCAATAACAATACCAGTTTTGAGTAGGGCCCAGAGCAAAAAATGGCTCTACTATACAATCAGGCTGCAGTGTGCACTACACTGTCCTTTGAAATTTATAACAAAGCTTTATTGAGTTTCCAGCAACTCTCAATAGGAGATCCACAACACGTACCCCTGAGATTCTGGAGGAATAGCATTCCTTATTCTTCCATTGACTTCTTTCTATTTGAAACTTAACTTGTGAGTTATTATTGGATTCCGATAGAGATTAATGTCTGCTTATGTGATGCCAAGTGTTTATGTAGTCTAACCAGTCATTCATAAACTAGGTGTTATGAGATCCACCAAATCATAATTTGGTTGTGAGAAATAATATTCCATTAGAAAATGGTTATGATATATACAAAACCAGATTCTGGCAATTCTAGATGGGACAAGTAAATGTCATGAGCCTATTGCTTAAGCTTCTGTGATACCCAGTTTTACTGCTTTACAATTCCTCCCTCAATATATATCTGTAGCCTCATGAGAAATTACTAAACCTGTTAACAGAAAAGAAGGAAGCATGGCATTAGTTTCTGGACCATTCTGAAAAATATACTGGCATCAGTCCAAAGTGAATGGTTGCTACATTACAGCCCTACTCATGGCAAAAGGAAATTCTTCCAGTTGACAGAAGTTCATGTAATATATTTGAGAGCCCACTTTGATTTAGAGAAAAGATGGCTTGAGCTATGGATGGACATACACTGAACAAAATAAGAAGAAACGGGAAAGGATATGTTCATTTCATTTCACAATTAAATATAAAAACTAAATTATGAAACAAGAAAATATAGCTAGGAAATACAAGCCTATGCCTTTTGTGACAGATAAGGCAAATTAGACTTGAACTCATGTTTCTCAGTTTTCCTTTGTGAGTAATTATACTTGCATAACAAGACTTTGTCACCACATTGGTGATCAACAAATGCCCACTGAAGACTTTTAGAGTTATAAATGAAGCTGCAACAGGATCAAAGTTTTATAGGCTTTTTCTTTTTTTTTGGATATATTTTTTAAATTGCACTTTAGGTTCTGGGGTACGTGTGCAGATCATGCAGGATTGTTGCATAGGTACATACATGGCAATGTGGTTTGCTGCCTCCATCCCCTGTCATCTATATCTGGCATTTCTCCCCATGTTATCCCTCCCCAACCTCCCTACCCACTGCTGTCCCTCCACACTGTGTGATGCTCTCCTCCCTGTGTCCATGTGTTCTCATTGTTCAACACCCACCTATGAGTGAGAACATGTGCTGTTTGATTATCTATTCTTATATCAGTTTGCTGAGAATGATGGTTTCTAGATTCATCCATGTCCCTACAAAGGACACAAACTCATCGTTGTTTATGGCTGCATAGTATTCCATGGTGTATATGTGCTACAATTTCCTTGTCCAGTCTATCGTCAATAGGCATTTCAGTTGATTCCAGGATTTTGCTATTGTAAACAGTGCCACAATGAACATATGTATGCATGTGTCTTTATAAGAGAACAACTTATCATTTTTTGGGCATATACCTAGTAATGGGATTGCTGGATCAAATGGAATTTCCATATGGTTGAAGGAAAACTCATCTTGGAAATTCTTTGTCCTGTGACAAAGCACTTCCACAAACATAAAGTTCATTTCAAGGAAAAACATAAAATTACATAAAAGGGTAGTTAGGGTAGATATTTTGAAGACATGGAACAGAGATATTATTGTTATGTTACTGGACTAAATTTAAAAATCTATAATGTTTGTAAAAGTGTATAAATTTCTAAAAATCTTTTAGAAGAACACATTATATTTATGTAGATTGTACCTTGAAACTCTTGAGTATAAAAAACAAGAGTGTGACAAAAAATTAGTAAAAACCATAAAATCTGATCAAAAAAACATGTCTAGAACTCTGGTGGCAACTCCTTAACAGAGTACTTAAAACATTTAAAATACATTTTAAACTCAATTATTTTTAGATATCTTTTTTAACCCTAAAAATATATAACATCATAACTTGATCCAAATCTATTATATCAAATAATAATCATTTCAATACAACTCTGATTTGAAAATAGAATCTCCTTTAAATTACTTAGTAAATATTGGTGTAATTGAAAAATCAAAATTATTTTTTGAAGAAATAATTGACATTTTAACCAGTAATAAATGTAGACTCTAGTAGTCAGACCTCAAAATGAAGTATGTTTAAAAATCCCAGGTGCATTTTTCACATATTTTGTGATAAATTAGTAGTAGTTTCTACTTACTCCTCAATTTTGATATTTCCAGTTTTATTACATCTGTATAAAAGAAGGCAAATACCCTGGAGTGTCAGGATTCAGTATATGCTTAAAGTCAGTGTCACAATTTTTACCTTTGTTTTGTTAAGCTTCTGTAGCATGAGGGCATACGTTCTGACAGCTCTTGATCTATGGTCCAGTGTCTCCTGTGGCTGGGTGAGTGTATCTCTCTAATTTTAGGATTTCACATTACGAACTCCACTCTCTCACAGATATAAGCCATGTGAGTCAATTATCAGCTTTATCAGTAATAAAGGCAATATCTGATTTCTCCCTTCCCTTATTCTTTTGTCATATTTCTTAATATTGCTTAACAACTCAAACACAAACATTGCTCAATCCTCACCCCTATACCCAATACATGTCTGTGAACTCTTATGCTAAAAAGTAGCTTTACATTCCATTATATAATAAATGTGCCACATTTCAAAGTACACTGGATTCCATTCAATAGTAATAATATACAAAGTGCATTCATATGAATATCATGGTGTGTTTTTATAGCATTCTTAGTATTACAGTTTAAGAAAAATAATTTTAACTCAAGTTAATGAAAAAACAAAAAATTTAAACTTGAAAAGCCACAGCTAGAGAGTTTAAGAGACTTGCCCAAGGTCACACCAATAGTAAGTCATTAAGCTGGACTTAAATTCACATCATCTACTGTCAACTCTACTTCAAGTATCAAACCATACTGCAGGCAATATTATTGACAAAATGAAATAAAACTCCAGTCCCTTTCTTGAGGTTCCCAACAGACAACAGCATATGACCAGCTGATCAGATTAAAAAGAGAAAAACTTTAGTTTCACCAGCAAATCTAATTTTGCTGTCCTAGTTCTGAGAAAAAGAAAACTGTGTTGGCATTTCCTTTGCTTCTTTGTTCTCTTATTCCTCAATTCAAACTCTTCTTTCCAGAACACAAGATGGTGGCAGTGGTGGAAAAAAGACAGTATGCATAATCATGACTTGAGAGCAATGACCCAACTGGAATACTTAAAAGATTTAAAAATGTCTTTTTCCAGCTTGAATTCCTGAGATTTAGGCAGATCTGAGTGTACAATGAACACTTTTTAGTCCATATTACTAAAATATATAAGTTAGGGATGTAACAAATACCCTCCTGACTAACTGTAATGAGATCTTGCAACTTAATTACATTGGCAAGTGTCTGATTACTACAGTGGCACTAATTTCTTTCAATGGTCTTGTTATGTACAGAAATACATAGGATGTCACATTTTGGAAATATAACTGATTAAAACACAACTTTAGCAAACCCCTTTAAAGAAATTTCATCTCAAAATTTATATTGTATGTAGAAATTGTAAAATATCATAGAAATAGCTTATACTAGAAAATACGTGCATATCAAAACAAAGAATAGGATTGTTTCTACTTATTGGATGCAAGCAAAACCAGTAAGCTAGTAGTCCCCCACCCTCTTCCTGATGTGTGCATCCTCTGCAGCCTTTCTTAGCCAGAAAGGAAATTGCAGACCTAGCAAAGTGTGTCTCCTGCCACCCGCAGAAGCTCCCCAAGGCCTCCTGTGGCCTATGCTCACAGTAAACAAAACTTCTGCACAGAGTTTACAAGATAGCAAATGCTAAAATTCTAGGTAACTCTGAAACAATCCTCAATTCTGTAGCAGTGCTTGGTAACAACTACCTTTCTCCTACAGTGACTACATTGTCTTTTCACAATTTGGTCAAGGATGTACACGCATCAGAACCATTTTTGCGTACTTAATCAAATCAGAATTTCCAGAATTGGGGTTCAGAAAAGGAGCATCAAGTAAGTAAGCATCTTGGTAATTCTTAAGTCTACTCAAGTTTGCAAATCACCGCAGTGTCTTCTTATACTGACAATATTTCCAGTACCATAGTAGATGATTGCAGTCACAAATTTTTTCTCTCTCAAGTTATGCTAATGTAAAAAAAGAAAATAAAGATTTTAGGTTTTTTCTTTGAAGAAAAGAAATTGAAATAGCGCGAATGTTATTTATTAAGAAACCCAACACGTGATTTATTAAATTCACTAAAATCATCAACTTGCCCCAAATTCACTTTAATTCACCAGTGATTTTTGTCAGTTCAGGGCCAAATCACCTATTTAAAGGCGAAGAACACAGTATTTAAAATGAAGCATCTAAACCTTAGATTGCAATTATGATGTTTATCCAAAAGTATAAAAAATAATATAGATGGTGATGGGGGGCATTATAATATATGATTAAACAAAAGCAATTTCGTAAGCGTCGTTAAATTCATACTAACTTTTACAAAGATTGCTTTTTTACTATTTATTTATTCCCACATTACAGGTGTCACATTAGGAAAATTAACAGTTCAGAATTTAGGTACTAACCTGTTTACAAAAGCCAAAGTTAAAAGAGTTAATGTTCAATTATTTTGTCCACGGCTGACATTGTGTACAAGATTGAATACCAAACCCTTTTCTGAACTGAAATAATGAAGCATTGGACATTTCTGGCAGGGTTGCTTTTATTAATATTTGACACTTACATTCAATATTAATATTTGACACTTACTATACAATATAGTAAAATCTATGCATATTTTTAATAAAAATGTGAACCTCTATAAAATGATTTTAGAATATGAAGAATCAGGAACAAATATTCCAATTGTTTACATTTTCTTCTCTCCTATTAAAATATATAGAATACTATCAACAAAAACGTAAGCTCCACATCATATAAATGTTTTAAAGAGAGAGCTATGTAGAGAACATATAAATGTTTTACATTTATTAAATATTAGTAATTCAATTTATCTAATAAATCTCATTGCTTGATTATTTACCTTTAAATATAGTATAGAGAAATAGTAATCCAAATATTAATGTTTCCTTAGATATACATTTTTAATCTGAGTTTGTAAAAATAAGATACTATTATTAACATATTACCAATTGAACTTGAAGATATTCCTATATGTTAATGTGGTTTATAGTTGTAATCAAAGTTGAAAATCTGTAACAGACACTTAAAAATATATACAATTAAAGATACAGCTTATTCTTTGGAACATACTACTTCCAGTCATATTTCATAAAATAACCTTCTTTATCCTTCTATGACTCTAATCTTCATTACACTAGCATTTTTTAGTTCTTACTTGTCACTGGAATTTCCAGACTAGGTATTTTAAAATTCAACAAGATAATTTACCATAATCATTTATAAGTATTACAAAGTTGATAAAATACCTAAATATTAATTCTCTAATCACTTAAATCTATTTATATGTTTATGTAACAGTTATTTAACGATTATAAAGAATAATTTTTCAGATTTTAAGAGATAAAAGATTATAAAGCCCAATTCCTGCCCTTAAAGATTTTTAATTTTTAAAGATTGCCTACCAGGGTTAAAAATGGTTCGTTATCTAAGACACTAAAATAAAGCGGGACCATAAAATAATATTACTGATCTTTTTAAAAGGTTAGAATAATACTGTACATCTAACAAGTTGCCTCTCTTAGAATATTTGGTTTGGGGGCTTGGGTTGGAATGGGGCCTTATTTAATGGAAGCACATAGCACCTAGCACACAGACTTGTAGAAGTTTCATAAAACATTGCAGGAATAGTCCTGATCCTGTCATTTAAAAGCTCTTCAACTTTAGTTAGGTGATTTTCTATACTCTGAGCTTCAGTTGCTTGACCTGAAGTAATGGAGATACTGATCCCTCATTCCTAGAGATAAAATATGAAGCCTGCATGCCTAGTTTAAGACCTGGTGACCATTTGTCATTGATATGTACAGCAGTGAAAATGACAATAATGATGATGATACCTATAATGAAGGCTACCAAAATGCAGTAAATGCCTAATATAAGCTAATGAACGCTCTGATGCTTTATAAGCATTAATTTACTTTAACTTCATAACAATCCTGTGCTTTTCGTATTCCCTTTGGCACTTGTGGAAAATGAGCCAATGATAAAAAAAATTTGTACTAGTAATAAGTATAATAGCAGCAATAGCCAATAGTATTATTGACAAGAATAATTAAACTGGTAAAACCACTGACTGTAAATAAACAATAATGGGATTTTCTTTTATATTTTGTTTGGCTAACAAAACAGTGAATTCCTAAAAAATGTTCTAATAACGAACAAATATATATCTTGCCAAAGATGACTACCTAGGAATAACATTGATATGTTCTTCATATTTTATAAGAGCTTATTTCTTCATGGTTACCTCTAGTTTTTTTAAACTATACTGATGGTGTATAAATGAGGAGGGTCTTATCTGCAGTATTTATGGTACTCTTTGTTTTGCATAGCCCACACATATTTAAATATATGTACATTTCCTAACATCCCTGTAAAAAATTAATCACAAATTTAGTGGATTTAAAGCAACACAAGTTATTATCTTACAGTTTTGAAAGTTAGGAGTTTGAAATAGGCCTCAACTTGACAAAAATCCAGATATTTGCAGGGCTACATTCTTTATGTAGGCCTTAGGGAGGAATATATTTGCTTGAATTTTCAGCTTCTGAAGGTTACCCACAGTTCTTGACCCATGGTCCCATTCCTTCAGCTTCAAGCCGGTCATATTGTGCCGAGTCCTTCTCATGCTGCTGTTTCTCCAGTCCTCACTCTTCGGCCTCCCTCTTTCACTCATAAAGTTCATTGTGATTAAATTGGGCCCACCTGGACAATCCATGGTACTCTCCCTATCTCAAAGTCAGCTGATTAGCAATCTTAATTCTATCTGCAACCTTAATTCTTCTCTGCCATATCGCATGATGTATTCACAGGTCTGGGGCTTAGGACACAGACATCTTCGAAGTACCACTGTTCTGTCTGCCACACCATCTGAACAATGCTTTCCACTATAGTTCCATCTCTTCCTTTCCTAAAGCCTTTTGAAGTAAAATGGATATATATGTGTATCTGTTTCTTTTCACACAGTGTTTGTAGAATAGCCCTGATTAAGTAGCTTAATGATCATTGTTTAGATTTTTCCATGAGTCAAAGCAACTGACACATTAGAAAAATTTTCTAAAAGTCAATTCGTGGGAGTTTGAAAGTTCCTTCAAGAATGCAAAGCATTAGGCAAATGCAAATTATTCTTTCCATTTTTAAAGTACTTTTTATTACTGGCTTTTGTAATACGTATTTTTAACAGTATCCACTTTATTTTTTACATATTTTTATTTCAGTAGTTTTGTGGGGAACAGGTAGTTTTTGGTTACATGGTGAAGCTCTTTAGTGGTTTTGGTGCACCTGTCACCCAAGCAGTGTACACTATACCTAATATGTAGTCTTTTATCCCTCATCCCCCTCCGACTCTTTCGAGCCACCAAAGTCCATCATTCTTATGCCTTTGCATCCTCATAGCTTAGCTCCCATTTATAAGTGAGAACATAAAATATGTTTTTCCATTCCTGAGTTGCTTCACTTAGAATAATGGCCTCCAACTCCACTGAGGTTGCTGGAAAGGCCATTATTTCATTCCATTTTATGACTGAATAGTATTCCACGGTGTGTGTGTGTGTGTATGTATGTATATATATATATATCACCTTTTCTTTACCCACTCATTGATTGATGGGCATTTTATGTTGGTTACATATTTTTGCAATTGCAATATGTCCATGTGTCTTTTTCATATAATAACTTCTTTTCCTTTGGGTAGATATCCAGGAGTGGGATTGCTGGATCAAATGGTAGATCTACTTTTAGTTCTTTAAGGAATCTCCATATTGCTTTCCATAGAGGTTGTACTAGTTTAAATTCCCACAAGCAGTGTAAAAGTGTTCACTTTTCACATTGACATCAACATTTTTTTTTTAAATTTTAATTATGGCCATTCTTGCAGGAGTAAGGTATTATCTCATTGTGGTTTTAATTTGCATTTCCCTGATAATTAGTGATGTTAAGCATTTTTATATGTTTGTTGGCTATTTGTATATCTTCTTTTGAGAATTATCTATTAATGTCCTATGCCCACTTTCTGTTGGGATTTTTCTTTTCTTGCTGATTTGTTTGAGTTCCTTGGAGATTCTGGGTATTAGTCCTTTGTCAGACACATTGTTTGAAAATATTTTCTCCTACTCTGTGGATTTTCTGTTTACTCTGCTGATTAATCACAACTGTATAACAACTTTGATGATTTTAAATGACCTAATGGTAATCATTAAAGACACAATTTTTCTAGCTTCCATTGCAGATATTTCACTTCCTGTTACTTAACTCACCTACAAGGACCTTGAAAGTAGCAAAATTCTATAAATTTTTACTTCTATCATTTGGAAATTGTGCTTGTCTGTTCTGTCCCTTGGAAAAATGTCTCTATGTTGATCTATTAGCAGGTGACAATATCATATTTTATGTTGCATGTTTTTTTATCAAAAAACTAGAACCTTATTTAAAAAATGAAAATGCCTATGTGGGAGGAAATTCTTTCCGATATAGGTATAAATATATATTTGCAGGAGAATTAAATGAGTTTATTTCAGATAAACATATAGTGGTTAAGAGACCAGGCTTTTAAGTCAGGCTGTCCTGCATTTTATTTTTTTTTTTTTTTTTTTTTTTTTTTTTTGTGATAGAGTCTTGCTCTGTCACCCAGACTGGAGTGCAGTGGCGTGATCTCCACTCACTGCAACCTCAGCCTCTCGGGTTCAAGTGATTCTACTGCCTCAGCCTCCCAAGTAGCCATGTAGTCTCATGCCTGGGACTACAGGCATGCAGCACAACACCCGGCTAAATTTTTTTATATTTTTAGTACAGAAGGCATTTCACCATGTTGGCCAGGCTGATCTCGATCTCCCGACCTCAGGTGATCACCCAACTTGGCCTCCCAAAGTGCTGGGATTACAGGCATAAACCACTGTGCCTGGCCTTGAATTTTAAAAATCCAGCTCTATCACTGACTAACTATATGGGCTGAAGCAAATAAAGAACCTCATTGTGCCTAGATTTCCAACTTGTAACACATGGATAACACTACCTATGGAATCAGTATTGTGAGAATTAAGGAAGATAAAATATCCTGCTGCTGACAAAACTTTGTTTCAACTTTCTGGAAAGTGAAGTCTCCTTTTGGAGAACAGTGGGAGGGATGCAATCTCCACACAGTAACAGGGAGTCACCGAGGGAGAAAGTCTCTTTAAGAATATTTATCCAATCCT